AAAAATTACTATAATATAACATGTTTAGTCGGACAAGTAACAAGTGTTATTATAATGTTCATTGATTGGGTAAACATTATCATATAATGTTCACCAATATGGTCTACCGTCAACTCGCACGATTTCAAAAACCTTCTACCCTAATTCCCAAAACCCGTCGGCGCAGCTCCTTCTCTTTCGCCCTGGTTGGCCTTCCCCGGCGACGGCGGGGCTCCGGCCTTCAGTCGTCCTCGACCGATTTGCCCTCCTTTTTGTCGATTGCCTCGGTTTTGGCTCCTTTTGGCAGTTTCGGAGATGGTGGTCGCTTGCCGTCCTCCTCTTTTCCAGGAGGGGTTTCCGAGATCGGGTCTTCGCTCTGGTCCGTGGGTGCTGTTGGTGAGGGCGTCGCAGTGTTGTTGGCGTCGTGTTTGGTCGGGGTGTGGGCCGGTGGGGGGCATTAGGTTTCGATGGTCTCGATGGTTTTCCGTTGGGGCGGTCGGAGCTGAGGGATTCCGCCGTCTCCTCCCTTTTGGTCCTCTGGTGCTGGGGTCGGAGGGGTGCTGGGGCTGGCGAGTTCAGCTAGTGGTGTTAGATGAACTCGGTCAGCTCTGGTGTAGGGAGTCGGCTGTGGGTTCTCTCTGGTTGGGGACGGGCCGATTTCGGGATTGTCTCGGGGGTTGAGTTCTCCTGCTGTATAGGCGCTCGTGCAGTTTCGGTAGCGGTTCTCGGGCTCGAGGTTCTCTTTGTGTCGGTCGGTATCTGTTGGTTGAGATCTGTTCAAGTCGCTGGGGAAGGGCTCTTGTTTATTTATTTTTGCTCATTTTGTCGTTTATCTGTTTTTCTTGTTGGTTGTTTGTGTTAGTTTGTGTTTTTTTCTGTTGCTGTTGTGTGTATTGGTGTGATTGGTTTGTCCCTGTAGGCTCGAGTGCACCTTTATTCTCCTGTTGGGAGCGTACTCGAGTATTCTCCTGTTGGGAGGGTCCTCTTTATTAGTAGTTGTCTTATAGTTGGTTCGGTTGTGTTTTGTGTTTTGTTGGTATTCTCGTGTTGCGAGCTTTATTTCGTGTAGGTTGCATTGGTGTTATTGTAACCTCCCAGCTACCCAGGATTCGGGCTTTGCTCGTGTACTTTGCCATTTGGCGTTTTTAATGAGAATTTTATGTCGTTGGAAAAAAAAAAATATGGTCTACCGGAAAATGCTCTCCTACCCACGGTGGGCACATGTTAATATGTCTACCGTTTATGTGGCATGCACATTGGTGATGTATATTTTTGAACATATTAACATCACCAATGTGTACATATCACATAAACGGTGGACATATTAACATGTGATCACCATGAGTAGGGGAACATTTTCCGGTAGACCATATGGGTGAACATTATATGATAATGTTTACCCAATCAATGAACATTATACACACAATATATGAATAAGCAATTTGATTAGGCGGAGCCTGGGGAATGGCAATTGAATTAATTGAAATAAATGCTCGTATTGTGTAGATTAATTAACCTCTAAGGACACGTTTGTTTAGCAAGACAAGATTAGATAACTTTAATCCTAAAGTCCAAGATTAGAATGTAGAGATAAGACTACATTTATGTTTGTTAGCCTTGATTTACTCATGATAAGACTACCTTGTTTTTTTGTTTGATGTGTTTGTTTTCCTAAACAATGAATATGATTTGATGTACATTTTACTAATTTAACCCTCAATATAAAAATTAAATTTATCCTCACTTATAATTTAGTGACTTTTTTTTATTATTATTTTCTTGTGTATACTATATGCCTCTCTTTTACTTACTTGAAATGTAACTATGTCTTCTCTCAGCATTTTTTTTTTCATTGTATATGTTCAACCCGCAATTATGATCATTCCAAAAGTTATGTATTAGTAATTACTAGTGCGTGGCCCGTGCGATGCACGGGAAAACAATATTACGATTGTGTTATAAATTAAATATATAAATAAATTAATCAAAATTTACCCATCGTTTTTAAATTAAATCGTGTTGAACACAGTCTGACCGGATGGACCGAGAATCGATATATAATCAGTCTAGTTCACTTGAATAAAATATTTGCTATTAAATCCGTCAACACCAGTCGGTTGAACTGGTAGGATCGATACGATTTTCTAAATAAATTTGACTATATTTAAAATTATTTTAAATAAAATAGAGATTTATAAATTGTTTATCAATTAATTTAAATATTTGAGTTT